GGGGGGCTGCCGGGGCTCCCTCCGCAGGGGTGGGGGAGGCGCCGCTTTCGTGCTCTCCGGGCGGGCTCCGCCACCGGGGCCTGGCCCGCCGGGGAAGGGCGGTGTTTGTCTGCCTTCCCATGGCCGTGTTTGTCTGTCCTCCTATGCCGAGCTCCGCGCCGCCGTGCCGGGCCCGGCCCGTCGCTGTCCCCGGAACAATAGAGCCGGGCCGTGGGGGTCTCCCCGGGAGAGGGCCCCTCCGCGTAGCGCTGCGGGAGTTGGAGGGGGGCGCGCAGGCCTTTCCTGAGATGCGTGTTTTTTGAGGCCTTTGTGGGAGCCTCCGCTCCGGAGGGGTTTGCAGAGGCCCGAAGCGGTACCTCCCGGGGAGGAGAGCGTATTGTCTGTGACATGTGGTGCTCCTGCAGCTTCTTCTCAAAGCCTGAAGAGGCTTTGGGGCAGCTGGTGGCTGAAGGTGGCCCGGGCGCTGGCTTGGGGTGGTGAAACGCTGCTCTGGGTGGTCGGTGGATATGGCTTTTAAGATGAGCAGGCTGCCCTGGGAGCAATTAATGTGACAAAACAGGCGGCTGAAGAGACTGGCAGTTATTGCGAAAGTAACTCTCTGTGTGTGTAAAGCCTGAGTCAGTTCTAAGAAGTATTAGAGTGGATGTTAGAAGTACTTCTAGCTGTGAGTGTAGAATAAGGTAAATTAAATGATAGGTATGTTATTAGTCTCCAGGTATATATAGATTAATAAATATGGAAATAACTAATTGCTTCCCTTAGTACAACTGAACTGTCTTCCCTGTAAGTAGAGGGATTATTTTAGTAGTAAAACAGCTTAAAAAAGCTTCCTTAGCCTGAAATAAGATAGGTAACCTCGACATCAAAATGAGTATGTCTTGCCCAGTAACTCCAAACCCTTTGAGTCAAAGCTGGAATTCTCAGTACTATCTCCCTGAAAACTAAAAATGTTTGCTGATAAGCAGAGCTGTTGTGATTTGTATGTATGAGGGTTTTTTTTATACATAAACTGAGGACACATGACAGAACAAAGTCCTCCCAACTGTAAGCAAGCTGTTCTTTGTCTGACAGTTGCCAATAGGGAAGCTTTAGAGCTTCCAGTTCTTGCGACTGGCTGGCCAGCTCTGGCCTGTGCCTAGCACTCTGTGTTCTGGTATGGGAATTGGGGCTGGGAGAAGTCGAGAATTCTCATCTTGGGGGAATGGTACGTAACCAGCTGTGCCGCAGTGCTTGGCTGGCTGTATTTTAAAGGCTTACTTGTGGCTATACCATGTTCACAGGCTGCGGTGGTACCAGTAGCGTGTGACAGAAGCAGCAGCCTTGCTGTGCTTCCAGTAGAGCCAAGCTGCTGGAGCCAACGTACCCTGCTCTCTCAGTAGCTGTATTTGAGGTTAAAGTGGGTGGAGTCATTTGAATATTCCTTGTTAAATAATCAGGGCTTCGTTGCTGTACTTATTCAGGAAGAACAAGTATACTTGTCTTTTTTTTTTTCCCCCCTCCCCCTTGTGACTTCCAACAGCTGACTGAACACATGACTTGCCCTCCATGAACTAATGAGTAGGCCCACCATGCCTGGCCTGAGTCCTCAGAATCCAAAGCAGCTCTAATACTGTTACTTTCAAGTGCTGCCCCCCCTTTTTTTTTCTTTTGCTATTATGTTAATGCTCTACTTCTGGTTTAGAAAAACTCTAAGATGGGGTTGATCGGAACCCTCAATAAGGAAATCTTTTAAAATCCAGTAGCAGTTTCTTGCTCTTCTAGCCTGCAGTGAGAAATATAACTGATAAGATGGAAGGAAGTAGCTATGTAAAACTTTCCTCTTCCCTGTCATGCAGAGGTCCATGTTCTCAAATACTCTACTGGTAGTTCAACATGGCATGCTAAGAGTTGTAACTTAAAAGGCAAAGGTGCCAAGTTAAGAATTTAAATACAGAGAATTGCAGAGACTACACCAGAGGCATCCTTGCCCTCCTACCAAAACCAGTGAAGCAAACTATGCTGAGAAGCACAGACACAATACAACATTGACGAATCCTTAACTGAAAGTGGAAAATGAACAAGCTCTACTATAGGCTTTCCTCTGAAATCACCTAGGGAAGATACCGCCTTGCTTGGTTTACTACCCAAAATGAATGTCTGTAGGCAAGAGGGCTACCAGATTCAATTTCTGCAGCACCTTCTTAAAGCTTCCATTTTAAGACTCTTGTGTTGGAAGGTCATGTGAATTACCTGTTGGAGCAAATCTCTGGCAAAGCTTGTCCTTGAGGAAACATGACAATTACAATCAAACCATCTGTGCAAAACTATAAATAGCTTTGTCTCTAACATATATGGGATTTTGGTCTGACTTCTCTGTGAAAATGAGACCAGTTTATGCAGAACTAAACATTTGGCTGTAAACAAAATTGCTTGTGCTTCATTAGGGTGCATTTTTAAATGCTGCATTGTGAGATAGGGGTCTGGCAAGTCCGGGTTTAGGAGTAAGGGCTATGGAATAGGGCAGTTGGATGTTTGCAGTCTCTAAAACTGGTAGATGTGTGGGCTCATACTTACTGGTAGCTGTCTCTGCTGTTATAATCATAGAACCACAGAATCATAGAATGGTTAGAGTTGGAAGGGACCTTAAAGATCATCAAGTTCCAACCCCCGTGCCATGGGCAGGGACACCTCCACTAGACCAGGTTGCTCAAAGCCCCATCCAGCCTGGCCTTGAATGCTTCCAGGGATGGGGCATCCACAGCTTCCCTGGGCAACCTGTATAACATAGCAACTTCTTCAGTAACTGAAATAAACTGAGGATTTGATAAACAAGCAGAGAACCCTCACCTTGCATGCTGCCAGTGTTCCCTAATGTCTTCTGGCCTTCTCAAATGTGACCTGAACTGCTCTTCAGCCCTTGTTACTAGGGTCTGATGGACCTAAGATTCCCTTGCAGAACTGTAAAGTAATTTAAAGTGTGTTGCCTTGGTGGAAGGGAATCCAGGTAAGACCTTACCTAAATGCTGAACTTAGCTGGACACTAGCACGCTGCGTGCTGCTTGTCTGACAGCAATCCTGCATCCTTCAGATGCTGAAGTACTTCATCATTGCACAGCATTGTTTTGATAATTGCAGTTTAATTGCCTGATGAGTTGGAGTTCAGTTAGCTTCCCCCTGCAGCTTCCTAAAATGATCTCTTGTAGTTGCTGCATAAGTCTGCCTTCAGACATGGTTAAGTTGTGACATTAGACTGTGAGGATAAAAGGGTCACTTTTGTGAAGTGACAATCCAAACACGGGCTGTGCATCTCAAAACTCCCATTAGGCATGGATAATTAATTGAATGACAATAGTTAATATACCTTTTTCAGTTCTGCGGTTAGCTGTTCTGTTGAAGATCGTATTTCCTTGTAAATGCACCTTGAATAAAACTTCCAAATGAGTGCCCAAGGTCAGTGACTCCGCTGCTCAGAAATAGCCGGCAGTGAAGGGATACCCCTCTGTCACGTGCTTGCTTGCTGGCTTCTAGCATGCTTGTTGCTTTTTGTGCTCTGTTCGCGGGGATGCAGCGTCGAACCCGGTGTGCTGCTGCATTTTCTGCTCGGTGGAGATCTGCCGTGGTGATGTCATTGTTGCTGTTAGCGCTGTTCCTGTGAGAGAGACTGCTCCTCCTCTCCGGTGCCAGCAATGAGCTCTCCGTCCATGGGGGAAG